TAACAAAAGTTTACAGAGAAGTTATATTTTCACTCATTTATTGTTGCACATTTTACACCTCTCCCTCCTTTTCCCCTCCCCAAGCTGACTATTTTATTTATCCCCCACTAGTTTATTTACAAAATTCTAATACAAATTCGAACATATTTTTTCAATTTCCCTCTCCCTCCACCCATCAAATTGTGCAATCCAATGATTAATCCCCTCTTCCCTCTGTACCTCCACATCTCTCTGCTTCCAGCCTCTCCCACCCATTCTGGATCCTTATACTCCTTCTACAACAACGGTCTTATCATGATATTTATCATTGTGGGACTGAGTTAGTTCATTCTGCATAATGTTCTCCAGTCCCTTTCAAGTTAGTTAATAATTTACAGTTATTGCTCCTGCGTGCTGCATTATATTCCATTTATTGAATGTACTATAATTTCTTAATCCATTTGTTCGTGTTTGGACATTTGGGCTGTTTCCATGTTATTGCAATGGTGAATAAGGCCACTGTGAACATTGGTGTACAAATCTCAGTTTGTGCCTCAGTTCTCATACTTTCAGGGTATATTCCAAGTAGTGGAATAGCTGGGTCATATGGAAATAATTTTTTTTTTTAAAGAGAAAAGTGAACTGGCAGGAGTTTGGGGGGGAAATGTGTAACAATGAAGTAATGGAAATCCAAGTTTTCTGTAAACTTGGTTTATTTACAGAATTCAAATACATTGTTTTCCACACCAAATTCTGCCCATTTCCCTCACCCCCCCAACCACCAAAATAAAACACTTACTTTGAATGTGTTTGCTTTGATTCCTCTACTTTTGATTTTGTTGAATTTTGCATTAAATAAAGTAAGCTTGGGAGGAAGAACAGGAAGTTTCAATAGTTGATTTTCAGCCAATGAAAGTTCTTCTAAGAGAGTAAGTTTTGAAAAGGTATTATCTTCTATGTCTTTGATCATATTTCCCGTAAAATCAAGTCTTCTTAAGTTAGCTTGAAGGGAAAATGTATAGAAAATATAAAAAATTGCAAAATTAACTTCTCATTCATATGCATAGAAACATTTATTTAACAGATAACTCAAACCTCTTTAATTTTTAGTGCCTGCTAGACTATCTCCAGTTAATAGTTCAGCACATATTGGTGTTGAGTGCAATGGGACCATCTGCTGTATTCTTGACGTTGGTGCCCTTTAATTAGAATCATGTTATTGCTCATAGGGCAGAATCTTGACATTACTAGAGGCTGTCTGTATGAATTCCTCAAGATATAGAGGTCTTCTAGAAAAGCCTGTATTTTTTTAATTTATTAATTAATTAATTTATTTTTCATTTCTATTAACATCTACAGAGATTTTGG